TGTAGGAAATGTATCTTAAGAGACATATTACAGCCCATCTTTTGATACGATGACAGCATATTTTTGACAAGGGTTTTATAGTTGTCAGCTTTTCTATTTCCCAAGAAATTAGTGACCACCAGACGGAAATCATTCCAAGCAGTTTTTTCAATACCTGTTAAAGTGTTTTCAAACTGTGTATCTTTCAAAATATTTCGAATCTGTGGCCCAACAAAAATACCTTCTTTAACCTTTGCCTCACTTAGTCTTGGAAATTTCTGACGCAGGTATTGAAAAGCTGACCCATCTCTATCTAATGCCTTGACAAAGTTTTTCATTAGGCCCAACTTGATATGCAGTGGTGGTAATAAATTTTTTTTCGAATCTACTAATGGCATATGCTGTACATTTTTTTGACCTGGCTCTAGGAATTGACGAACAGGCCAGTTTTGTCTGGTGTAATGAAGTGCCTTTGCCCGACTGTCCCATTCACACAAAAAACAGCAAAACTTTGTGTAGCCTAGCTGCAGCCCAAGTAAAAGTGCAACAACTTTCAAATCGCCACAAATATGCCATTGGTGCTCATCGTATTTTATGCATGTCAATAGGTACTTCATATTGTCATATGATTCTTTCATGTGAACTGCATACCCTACAGGAAGAGATGGTAAAATATTTCCAATATGCAATAACACTGCCTTTAAACTCAATGTTGGACTGTCTATAAACAATCTCCATTCTTCTGGGTTATAGTTTATATTTAAAGCCGCCAGTAAGCCGTTAATGTTACTGCAGAAAACCAAGTTATTCTCCATATTGAAAAATGGTTCTAAGTCTTTGTGGCGTTTACGAAAAACACATACCGAAACATCGTCTTCTAACAAGTTCCACTGCTGCAGTCTTGATCCAAGTAACTCTGCCTTACATTTTGGAAGTTCTAAATCTCTTACAAGATCATTTAATTCTGACTGTGTTATTTTGTGCGGTTGGTGGCATGACGTGCTCGGTATAAAATCAGGATCTCTTGACGTTGATGGCATATCTTCTTCCTGACGAATCACTCGATCGCCATGATCTGATTCGTTTTCTGATTCGCAAGTGTAGGATTCTGGGGGTTTTGGAATAGGATTTTCGTCACTGTGAGGCACAGGTCTCATCGCAGATGGTATGTTTGGGTAGGTAATAACCGATTTTTTTTTCTTGGACATACCTGTGGCTTATCCAACACAAGGTACCATGCAAAAGTAACAATCATTAATATATATATCTCCAAACCATTGGGACAGCAAAGCGCATAGACCGTTTTTTGCAATTTAACCAGCTCCTCAGACTTGAAGCACATGTATTACAGCAGATGTGGGGTGCCCACTGTTTGTCTTGATCACCTAGTTTACAACCGAAATAAAGCTGATATGCCTTTGTTATTAGTGGAGTAATAGACCGTCTCTGAGACGCAAAAGTCACACCACCACACACGTAACAAAACTGACCTGGATTGTTTACACACTTTCGAGACATCTTGCATGAACGCTGTCAGCCAACTAAAGAAAAAATGGCTAATATAAAACAATATAATGTACACGTATGTATAACGTAACACAATCATGCCGATTACATCATCTTTCCTTGCCGAATATAAAAATGTAGCACGTGCATTCTTGTGAATTACAGTATATTAACACTGTCACAGCAGGAACACATATAATTACTGTATCTCTAAAACTTGAACTAATATTGAAAAAATAAGTTTCATTCCGGTTTTAGCACATTAAAAATAGTAATATTTTGTTGATTTTATTTAGGATATTTTTTAGCTGTTGATCAGTGTTTTTAATGCTTAATGCGATAAACTTATAAAAATCGACTTTTGGTAATTTTTGATATCCAACCTTTATACTAATTTTTGGACCACCCTGTATAGATAATTATCGAAATATCATACAAAGTCTATTAAACTATATTCATGTTTACCAGAAAATCAATCCACATTAAGCAATAAGGTGTTCTACATAGGGGAAATGAACAATTATTATATCGTCATTTTTGACAAAATTTGAAATATGTCAAAAGCGGTTAGACTTGGGTATAGGAGATTATTAATGAAATATGATTAGAATTTTATGTAGAATCCAATATTGAGTAATACGAGCCCCTTCCCACTTCAGTTGGTCCGCTTCAAGATTTGTATCAAAATACCTAAAACTAATCATCACGAAACTATTTACTTCTAAAACAATTTATTTTCTCAAAAACATTTTAGATACACTCTAGTCGTAAAAAATACATATTTGAAATTATTTAGACCTATAACTAATAGAACATCTGAACAAATAAACAATGTGCGAATAAATGCGCGAAGTTAACAAAGCAACAATTGAAAGATTACCATTGGGTAACACCACCTTTATTTTTTATTACGGCTGAAATTCTTTGGGGCATAGTGTTAACCAAGTTTTGGCAAAAATTTGGTGTAAAACAATCCCATATTTCTTGAAGCTTTTGTCTCAGTTCGGTGATTGTACGAGCAGGATGTTGTCGTAGAACCTTTTTCATCTCGTGCCACAAAGTTTCAATAGGTGACAGATCTGGACTGCTAGAAACCCATTTCAAAAGCGGTACATTATTTTCTTCCATCCATTTTATAGCCTTTTTTGAGGTATGGCACGCTGCGCCATCTTGCTGAAACACGCTGCTACATTTTTATTATTTGTGTTTGATAAGAAAAAAAGTAAGATTTCAATAGTTGTGCTAACTGAAGTGGCAAGGGGCTCGTATACCAAAATCCAATTCAAAATAAGCCAGTCGGCATCAACTTCCATCTTGAAAATATTTTAGGTGCCGTTGCCCCATCGACATTAGTATACTCCCAAATTTGCTAAAATATCATATGTCTACTTTTCGAGAAATCTATCGATGGAATTCCCGATGCGACACCCTGTATAGTCATTATGCTGCCAAAAAAAAACACGTTGAAGAAATTATTTTTTCTGGTTGTAACATTGTAATGTCACTGAGTATATTTAGATGCTTGAACTAGCAATACAATAATCATCCAAAACAAATATACTAAGTGACATATAAATCCGAACACCCAGTTTAAATGGCTTTATTTTAATAAAATTTTGTATAAGTACTTAATGAAGCATAAAAAAATTTCAAAATGATTGCACTGCTTTAAAGCCCTTTGACCTTTAATAATGTGTGGATGCACCCTGATGTGCTACGCATTCTCCAACGCGCCTAGGCATGCTTCTGATCAGGTGGTCAATGTCCTTCTGTGGTATCTCATTCCAGGCAACCATCAACTCCTCTCGAAGTGCTTCTAGAGTCTGAGGAGGACGTTGCAAATTGAGCAATCTCCTACCCATCATATCCCACACGTGCTCAATTGGGGATAAGTCGGGAGATCTTGGTGGCCAAGGTAACAATGTGACATCATTATGTTGAAAGAAGTCTATTGTGACTCTTGCAACATGTGGTCGGGCATTATCTTGTTGGAAAGTTGGATCTGCCAGGGTAAAAGATGGGGTTCTAGAACTTCGTGGATATAACGCTGCGCGTTCATGTTACCTCTGATGAAGATTAAAGGTGACCTGGAACCATAAGCTATAGCACCACAAACCATAACTCCAACAATGTGATGAACATGTCTTTCAACAAAAAACTGTGGATTCCTCCTTTCACCACGTCGCCTTCTAACCCTGGCACGACCATCGTGCATGCCTAAAAAAAATCGAGACTCGTCACTAAAGACAATACTGTTCCATTCCTGATCCCAGAGTGACCGTTGTCTGCACCACTCAAGGCGATTATGTCGGTGTTCTCGAGTTAAAGGAGGACCCAGTGTGGCCGGTATGAAAACAAGCCAAAACTTCTCATTCGTCGGTAAACACTTCGCATGCCAATAGGTCTTCCGTGTTCTGCAAACCATTCATTTGCAATGGACCTGGTAGTGGAGAAACGGTCCCTTAAGGCCAATAATCTTAGGCGGCGATCTTCACGGTCTGTTGTTCTACGGCGGCGTCCAGTGCCCCTTGCTCTTTGCGTTCGGCCTTCTCGAAGCCATGCCTGACAACACCTAACCACAGTGTCTACACTTCTTTGCACTCTAACTGCAATTGCCCGAAAAGAAGGTCCAGCTTCCGAAGTCCCACTGTACGGCTCCTATTAAACTCGCTAAGTTGACGAAATCGTACAGGTCTCCGTACTCTAGGCATCGTAACCGATCGTAAAGGATGTCAAGAACCAAAATCCGCCAACGTTGATTCTTTACTGCGGCTGAAATATTCATTTTTAGAGCGTTAGTGAATTAAAAAAAAGCAGTATAAAAACCGGAATGTCCAACTGATAAGGCTGAACATTTTTTCACTTGTTATTTACAGTAAGATACATACATTCACCAACTTTTATTAAAATAAAACCATTTAAACTGGGTGTTTATATGTCACTTAGTATAAATATGTGGATAATCATCATTTCTTTCTTCATGGGTCAATATGGACTATCAGCAGGTATAATTATTTTAAAGACGAAGATTAGAAATTTTATATTAACATATTTTTAAGTCAGCTGTCTATCAGAACATCACATTTATGTCCAACCTCATTCGCCATATGCTGTTCATAAGTAGGAAATTGGCTCAACAGAAAACAGAATGCGTTCACCTATTTAATGTATTAAAAATGTTTTCGATATGAAGCTGCAATTACAAACTCGAAATAAACAGACTATTCGACAGTCTTATTTCAGTATCGTTCTATAATTAATTGCACGTTGTGTGTCAGTACGAATAGAGATGAGTTCCTCAAATTTTTACCGGGATCAGAAGCTTCTTAATAATAGAACGTCTTTGACTAATACTAAAGAGATTACATTTACGACCCCCTACCTACAACCCTCAGGTTTCTACTGCTCCAAAGAATCTTCCGAAAATAAATAATAGTTAAAAAAACACGGATAAAATAATTTTTAATTACAATCAATCATAATTGATGATAAAGCTCTTTAATTTTTTTTTTCAGGTCGCTTTGGAAGGGTGATCCTCACCACCAAAGATGGCGACAAAAACATGTTGCGAACGGCTGTGTGGGACGAAGTCAGACTACTTGACGAGTATATCCAGAACATGACTGTACACTTCGACGACACCTACTTCACCTACAAGGATATTTGTGCGAAATGGATGGACGAATGTTTTTTCAACGACATTTTGAATCTGCACTATATCATGGACGACGTAAGTATTCTTAAGCTTAGGCCCAAAAAATAATCGAAAGTGTGATTTTGTGTCAAAAAAGTTGAGTCATTTATTTTAACTGCTTGTAGGACTCGTCAAAAGGAGCTGATATACGAAAAATCACCTGTAATAGTTGAATAGTAAAAGAAACAGTAAGAGATTACTTTACTTTTTTGTTTACGAGTCTTATTGTTTCTCTAAATTTGGCGAACTTTTTTTGTTATTGTATGCTTTTCAGCATGAGAACAACGAAAAGGTCACGCTTGAAGACCTGCTCGACCTAAAATGTTAAAAATTGAGGAAGACATTTTAGAAATCGTCGAAGACGATCCAACAATGAGTCCTAGAGTCATGGCAGCTCAAGTTGGAGTTTCTCGTAGTAAAGTGTGGAACGCCGTTACACTTTTTTCTATGGCGCCATTCGAAATGTGTTGTGTTTACTCTCCAACCTGAAAGTTTGGATAAATTTCGTCAACGCATCATCGAAAGCTGCCATGACATTCCACAGCACGTTTTTGAAAATGTCCGTCAGGAATTTGAACACAGCCTATAATGTATAATTATCATGTACCATAACTCCAACAGTGTGATGAACATGTCTTTCAACAAAAAACTGTGGATTCCTCCTTTCACCACGTCGCCTTCTAACCCTGGCACGACCATCGTGCATGCCTAAACAAAATCGAGACTCGTCACTAAAGACAATACTGTTCCATTCCTGATCCCAGAGTGACCGTTGTCTGCACCACTCAAGGCGATTACGTCGGTGTTCTCGAGTTAAAGGGAGGACCCAGCGTGGCCGGTATGAAAACAAGCCAAAACTTCTCATTCGTCGGTAAACACTTCGCATGCCAATAGGTCGTTCCGTGTTCTGCAAACCATTCATTTGCAATGGACCTGGTAGTGGAGAAACGGTCCCTTAAGGCCAATAATCTTAGGCGGCGATCTTCACGGTCTGTTGTTCTACGGCGGCGTCCAGTGCCCCTTGCTCTTTGCGTACGGCCTTCTCGAAGCCATGCCTGACAACACCTAACCACAGTGTCTACACTTCTTTGCACTCTAACTGCAATTGCCCGAAAAGAAATTCCAGCTTCCCGAAGTCCCACTATATGGCCCCTATCAAACTCACTAAGTTGACGAAATCGTACAGGTCTCCGTACTCTAGGCATCGTAACCGATCGTAAAGGATGTCAAGAACCAAAATCCGCTAACGTTGATTCTTTATTGCGGCTGAAATATTCATTTTTAGAGCGTTAGTGAATTAAAAAAAACCGGAATGTCCAACTGATAAGGCTGAAAAATTTTTCACTTGTTATTTACAGTAAGATAGATACATTCACCAACTTTTATTAAAATAAAACCATTTAATCTGGGTGTTCGGATTTATATGTCACTTAGTATAGATCTAAATGATAAACGGGATCAGATACACCTGAAACGACTTCGGATTCGGTATTGGCAGTTCAAAATCAGGTTGGAAGAAGACATTTTGAACAATTGTTGTGATGATATCATGTACAAAAGGCAAAAATTAAAGGCATTAAATCCTATTTTGGCGATTCATCGTCTTTCTATATTTTAACGCGTCTTAGGGCCGTAGTGCCGTAGTGAAACTTTTCCGGATATGGCTCCCTATACTCAAATGTTTTATACTGTAAGAGCCGTTTTACACACAAGAGAATTACTCCGAAAATTATGGTCATAATTATGCCGAAAATGTGCATGGAAAAAATATGAAGATTTTCTCTACAACCTGTATGACACAAGCAAACAAAATTACCGAGTAATTCATATGATACGCCTGCGCATTAGAGTAATATTTTCGGATGGACATAACCTTAACGGGTATGACGTCCAATATAATCGGAAAGACAACAGACGTCGTTGATTTAAATTTATTTTTGAAATCGAGATCTTGGTTAATATTATAAAACTTCTCAATGCTTGGACTATCGCATCCAGCACCTGACGCCGCGAATTTCTGTTTTTGAAATTGGGTGACTTCACCTTGAACAGGTTTGTCCATTTTTGGTACTCCTACAACAACAGTGTAACTTCTTCCTGATTCCACGACATTATGAATAAACAATAACAATAAACGCTTCTTCGTAGTACGACTCGAACAGGACCATACCCACAAATGTTAAGTGGGGTTATGTTGTTGACGTTGACATTTGATAATGACATGCACGGAAATAATCCTCTGCGCCGATTCTCGCGCATATTATATAGAACGGGTTTTATATTTTTACCATGAAAATTTTCACAAGAATTCTTTTAGGTGTAATACGACAGCAATAATTTTCGGCATAATTATAACCATAATTTTCGGAGTAATTCTCTTGTGTGTAAAACGGCTCTTAGACTGAATAACCCCTACAAGTTTGATCCCACAGTTCTGATGTACTCTGTATAAAAAACATGCAGGTATATGGGATGTAAGGTTTTTAATAAGCTCAATGATGATATTAGTAATGAATCAAATATAGCTGTTTTCGAATGAAAACTAAAACTTTTTTGATTGACAAATGTTTCTACGCCTCGGAGGAGATTCATGTTTTTATACTTTTTCAACTCGTCACCACCATTTTTATGACCTTGTCATTTTTTATAGAATTTTCTGTTCTATTCAACATTGAAATGAATTATTATCATTATTATTATTATTATTATTATTGTTTGGGCAATAACGGAAAACATTTTGGACACTTGTTGAAATAAAAAAAGTGCTGTTTTCGTGCGTTTTTGTTTGAAGTTGAGTCATTAATTTTCAGATAATGATGGTAGAAGAAAGATAAACCAAAATATGTGTGTAAAAATAAAAAAAAATGTTACCTTGTTTTATAAAGTATCCTTCCGACAAGTATTTCAGTGCGGACCTGTATTTGATCGTGCGGTCTTGGAGCACCGGCATGCCCTCTCCTGTGAGGTCTTAAGTCACCTGATTCACGAGCCCTTCGTACTACATTCAGCATTTTCGTAAACATGTGCCATTTTTTATTTCGTTTGAGCCACGCAACAAACACCACTATTCACTCACGCATTACCGACTGACACACCGACTGAATACAACTGAATAAAATTGTACATTGTAGTAAAAACATCGTTCCAAATTCTTTCGCTTTTTTGCTTCCGATGCGACGAACGGATAAGGCGGATTATATCCGTTGTTGCCAAACACGAGCACATAATATTATTATTGAGACAGGGCGGTACTCAAACTTCTAAAGGGCTATAACATTGTTACTTTAATTTTATCAGAAAAATGTTAAAGGAAAAAAACATTTCTTTTGATCAGATCTACTCACTGTTAAAATAAATGACTCAATTTCGAAGTATTTGAACAAATTGAGATAAATAAAGATTTTTCTAATTTTCTCGAAAACGAATCCACTGATTTAAAAAAATCAAACGTCGAAATATAGGACTTTGAAACACCTTTCAAACAAGCTATTGCTTGCCATTTAACATTTTCAAGGTAAAGATCCTGTGGGCTGAGAGTTACAGGAGGTGAAGTAGTTTTTCGGTTAAAAAGTTGTTCCCTTGAAAAATGACGTGTCTCGGCGTTTTCGATGAATCCTTGGTAGGAAGTATAAAACTTTGAAAAAAATACACCGACTAATTAATTTTTCAAAACGACGTGCTCGAAACTACATACAAATCTGCGAAATGTTGCCGGAAAATCATCCTAGACCAATTAACTGAAGCAATTATAACATAACGACCGATCCTTATTTGATGCAATTTAAAATACGGTTAATTCGGTGCGTGTGACGGTATCGTTTTCCCGCAACTTAACACGAAATAATCCGCTTGTCTACACGGTTCGCTTTCACTGTAATAGTGGCAATCTCGGTACGGTTTTCCACACGATTATCTGGCAATGGAAAGAAGAGGTCCAGGAAGAGACCGCCGGACATGGTGACAGGTCACGGAGCATTAGGCAAGTTATCGCCGGGAACGTCATAACCACTTCCGTTTTATGTTAACGAGCGGGTAATATTGTCGCAAAGTTAAGGTAAATGCCAACCGGACGTAAACTCACTCCACTCTCGGAATGTCCGGGTGGAGGGTGGGCTCGAGGGAACAACATCGAAGATAAAATTTGTTTTTCGAACATCTGCGGGATCAACAGCAACATTGATGCTGTTCATCACTACCTGCAATCCAATCGTCCCGCCGTGCTTTTCTTGGCGGAGACAAAAATCTCAGAGACTGCACCGATTAACCATCTCAACTTCCCAAACTACGAGGTGCACTCAAATCTGAGAAAGAACGGGGGAGTTGTGGCTTTTGTCCGCAGCAGTCTTTCCTGCTCCAGGGATCTTTCTTTGGAATCAGACCGGAAGGACATTCTGTGGCTTCGCCTCAACTCCAAAACATCACCCAAATTTATTTGCTGCCTTTATCGCTCTCCCTCGAACCATAACTGGGATGACCTACTCGAATACCTCGCCGTCCAGATCGACTTCCTGAACATCAATCACCCCGCTTCAGAGGTAGTTCTTCTCGGTGATTTCAATGCCCATAATGAGCTTTGGTTGGGCTCAAATAAGACCGATGCAGCAGGTCGTGCAGTCGAAGCGTTCGCTCTTACTCAAGGGCTGACCCAGCTGGTGACGAGCCCTACTTTTTTCCCCCGCGTCTCGTCACACGCCAGTAGCCTGCTGGACCTCTTCCTGACCACGCATCCTGCCCCTTACAGCACTGCTGTCCTGTCCCCCCTGGGTAACACAGATCACGGTGTTGTGGAGGCTAGGTTTCGGTCAGAAGCCGCTGTGGTAGCAGAAACTCGCACAGGCCGCAAAACTTGGCATTACGGACATGCCGACTGGGAGGGGCTCAGAGACTTCTTCTCTAGCTTTCCTTGGAGAGATGTCTGTTTCACTGACGCGGATGCGTCGACTGTCTGTTCTTCAATAACCGAAATTATCCACGTCGGAATGGAGGAATACATCCCTCACACAGTGAAAGTTCCTAAACCAGGGTCCAACGGCTGG